GGAAAGGTTTCAGATGAGCTACAAAACAAAGACAGACTAGGAAGAAAGAGTGACAAACTACTTCCGAATCGCTAGTCACTGAAAACTCTATGCATAGCAGGACTCCATTAGAGAGATGCAAATCAAAACAACTATGAGATATCATCTCACCACAGCATTAATAGCAAAGTTCAAAACAAACAGAAAACAACAAATGCTGGCAAGGGTGTAGAGAAACTAGGACCCCCCTACATTACTGGTGGGACTGTAAAATGGTCCTACTACTGTGGAAAATGGTGTGGCAGTTCCTCAGAAAATTGGAACGAAAAGAACTGTTGTTAAGTGCCGTCAAGTCGACTCCGACCTATAGTGACCCTGGATAGGGTTTCCAAGGAGCAGCTGGTGAGCTTGAACCACCGACCTTGCAGTTAAATGACTTTGCAGTCTGATGCATTAGCCCATAGCACCACACCAGGACTCCAAACAAATATATTGTTGTTGTTAAGTGCTGTCGAGTCGATTCTGACCTATAGCGACCCTACTGTAGGACCCAGCAATCCCTCTACTTGGTATATTTCAACAAAAAATAAGACCCAGGACACAAGTAGATGTATGCACACTGATGTTCTTCACAGCACTATTTACAATAGCAAAAAGATAGATACAGCCTACATGTCCATCAATGGAAAAGTGGATAAATAAATTTGGTACATACAAACATTGGAATACTATGCAATGCTGAAGAATAATGTCTTCAACATGAATCTCCAAAACACCTTACAACATGGATGAACCTGGAGGCCATTATGCTGAGTGAAATAAGTCCACCACAAAAAGACAAATATTGTATGAGACCACTATTGTAAAAAATCAAGAAAAGGTTTCATACTAAAAGAAATATTTTTCGATGGTTACCAGGGGTAGGAGGGAAAGGAGAATAATTCACTGGCAAGAGGGTAGATACATGTTAACTTGGGTGACAAGAAAGGGGAGGGCAATATACAAGAAGAGGGAGGTTGGCAGAATAATGATGAAGATAAATGAAGGCATAGGGAGGGAGGGATGCAAGGGCTAAAGGGGATAGAGGTAAAAAGTGATAGGTGCACAACCTTGAAATAACAGTGTTCTGTGTATAGATACACTGACAGAGACACAAGCTGAATAGGTATTGGAGGAAGAGTGGAATTTATGTTATGGGGGTGAGTCAAAAATTATCTGCACTCCAGCTGTAAAATTTATTTTAATAAACTTTTAGAAAAGAGAGATAACATCATTTTTTCAGCATAATCTCCTTAGTTTTCAATACACTTTCTATCTGTCAACAAGCATGTTTTTTTTTTTAATGTTTATTGTGAATTATGTGATAGTTTACATGGGAGAACATTAGCTTTACATTCATCCATCTTATATCGTTTCATTGCCATGGTTACAATCACCTCCATGTATCA